GGGGGAGAAACCCGCAGCAACCTGGGGAGTGGGGTGGGAAGGCAGGACTGTCCCAGCACTTCAACAGCTGCTCGCAGCCACCTGTGTTTGCAGCCAGCACTGAAAAGAAAAAAAATAATGTCCTTTCTCCCACAGGCTGTCTGAAGGCAGAATACCTCGCTCTGAGATGCCTTGCTCTCTTTCTCTCAGTTGTTCTCCATTAGGTGTCCCAGGGGGCAAAAAAACTTCCTCTCAGGAAAAGAAAAAGCAGGCAGCCAAAACCGGACTCCCCGCTCAGTCCGGTCCACACCAAACCCAAAAAAATCCTCTGAACAACAGACTCCCCGCCGTGCCTGTGGCAACCGTGCTTCCCCGGGAGACCTCCCGCTCTCCCCGCTCCCGCGCTGCCCAGCGCCTGCGGCTCCGCTCTGCCCCCAACCCCTCCCCAACTCCCCCCATCCCGAAAGAAATAGATGGGGGAAGGGGAAGACGGGATACCCTAGGGAAAAAATTCCAACATTATTACAGCCCAGCTAGGGGTACAGGGAAATTCACTTAGAGGTTCGAGACAGGTTGTAGGTCAACAAGAGTGAACCCTTTATTAAGATTGCTTCCCCCTCTGTGCTGGTTTAAAGGTAAACCAGCAGGGGAAATGGACTCAACTCAAAAGAGAGATTATAAGTCAGAATAACAATTTAATAAAATAATAAAATAAGCATGATTATACAGACAAACAATTGGTTTTAACCCACAAAACCCAAATATATAACCCAGCCCCCTGGGGCATGAACAGAGTGGTGTTCTTTGGGCCCCCTGAGTCCAAAGTAAAAGGAGAGGGGAAAACTTGTTGGTGAGAGTGCTGTTGCAGTCTGGTCAAGAGTGGTGATTGCAGTCCGGTCGAGAGTGATGGTTGCAGTCTGGTTGAAAAGTGGTGGTTGCAGTCCAGTTGAGAGTGGTGGTCTGCAGTCTGGTTGAGAATGGTGGTCTGCAGTCTTCCTCTGGATCCCACGAGTGGTAAAAAAGTTCCAAGACTCCAAGATTATATTTTCTCCAGTTCAGGCAGGAATGCTCAGTACTTTCCTCAGGGCGGGGAGTTTCACAAAGGGTGTGAGGAACAGGGAGGCAGCCTTCTATATCGCAGGCCTCTTAACACCTACTCTGTAGCCTGAGGAATTAGGCTGCTCTGGGCAGAGGGTGTAAATAGTCTATTGAAAACAGTTTCTGGGAAATGGTATGGAAGGGTATAGAATACACAGGTTTGGGTTACACCCATACAGTGATGAACTGGGCCCAGCTGTTCTAACTAGGATACCCTCATATAGGGGGAGCAGAGAAGTTGCTAGAACAGTGGGTGTGGCATACCAAATACGGAAAGGGTAGGAGGGCCTGCCCAAACAAGGAAAGTATAGGAGGGGTTTACAACTCCATAAGGATTGGGGGAGGGTTTATAAGGAAACAGGGATATGAGGGGCCAAACAGTTTAAGGGAATTTTTACAAAAATTATGGGATACAACATAAGAACTCTATTTTAGCATTAAACTCTGTTATAGGTAAATAAAATAGATCAAGGTATAGCAGCAAAAATTTATTAAAGATTTATGTAAAGTGCAAATAAGCAAAACAGCGCACTGGGTAGCCTGGGAGACCCTTGCTCCACACGGTCCACAAGCGCAGTAGGCAAAAACAGTAACTTTTATACCCTTATCAATTCCCCTCCCACAGTCACTTTTTATCTCCTTATTAGATCCGAGTTCGCAGGTCTGGTTCTGGTTGGTTCTCTTTTGCAGGCCCAGTTCAGTTACCAGGTATTTTCCATCCGTAGTTTTAATTAGTCCTTCATCCTTGTGGGACTTTCCAGATGTCTGTTTGGTTCCTCCTCATTGCCCTTGTACTTGACCCTTTGATCCTTGTCCTTCTCTTCTTTACTTTATAAGTACACTTTAGACAATATACTTTTAGAAAAACAGGATACAGAATACTTATTCAGTGAAGCATAATAATTTGTCTTGTCAGCTAGGGAACTGCAAGCTGTAGGACAGTCAACATATAATATTAACATGATTATTAACTATTCTGCAACTCACAATCTCCCAACCTTAACGAAACATCTACTACAAACTACAATAACATATAAGAGTATAACATGCAATTCAATTTGATGAGTAAATTATTTTACTATTGCGTATTTATTACAAACTCTAACTCTGTCAATAAAGTCCATTGCCTCTGAGAATATTCTGTAGTCTTAAATGACATCTTCATCTCTTGTCGCCTCTTTTAGGGCCTCAATCCATCTTCAATATTGCAATTTCTCCTCTTGCTCATCTCCCACACCTCAACACCCACCCTGCCCCAGCATCTCTGGCTGATCCCTCTGCAGAGCCTTCCCACCCTCCAGGAGATGCACATGCCCAGGGATGACACTCAGGATGATCTGGTCCACCACCTTCCCCGGTACCAAGGGCAGGCTACCAGGCCCGTAGCTCCCCACATCATCCTTCCCACCTTTCTTGCACGAGGGCCTTCCATTTGCTCATTTCCAAGCAACTGGCAAGTCTCTCCACTTAACCAGGACTGCTGGTCAATGATCCAAAGCAGCTACCGAGCTCTTTCTCCAGCTCCCTCATTACTCTCCAGTAACAGAGAACATTCCACAAGAAAGCAACTTGCCCACAAGAGGTGGGAGGCATCTGTCAGCTTAGAGGAGACCCCTCAGCACTATGTCCTGAAGGAACACCATTGGGCTTGACATGGAGCTCCAGGCAAGCTTACAACCAGCTGCCTCACTTGCAGCCCAGCCTTGGCCAGCATCCACACGCGGAGGCAGGATTATTGGGGGGCACTGCAGGGACCCAGGGGGACAGGACTGGCTGGCCTGTGTACACGTGGCACCCCCTCACACCCCCAGAGTCACCCCAAACCAGACAAACCCTCCCGTGGCAGCAGAGAGGAGCACACAGCACCTCCCAGGGTATCTCAGCTGAGTTTGCCCCATTTTAAGCTCTGCTAATGCCCAGCTGCCAAAAAGGCCTACCTGGATCTCTCCAGGATGCTCAGGACGAGCCAATGAGCAGGATGCTTTGGCAGACAAACCTTCCAACCCTTTCCTGAGGTTGGGGACACACCAAGATCAGAGACAAGGACTCTCCATCATGCCTGGCCCACACACCCCAGCTCTGTGCTGGCCCTGGCCCAGAGCAGCTTCCACCAAGCAAGAGGCAAAGGCACATTTCTGGGTGAAGGGGTTAATAGCGGGTCTGTTAGCTCCCAGGATGAAGATATTGACTGGGTAAACTTTTGGGTGTATCCTTGATGATAAGGAAGTCAGTACGCAGCCCTAATGGAGAAAAAAAAGGCAGACTGTAAAATTGGTAGGCCTAGGATGTGGGACCTGCAATTAGGCCTTGAGCTTTGCCAAATGTATCGTCCATGTATCCTAGCCAATGAAAACGCTGTTGCTTGCTTACCTAAAATAAGGATACTGCTTGCTGCTAGCAAGGGGTATAAAAAAGCAGATGAGAAAAATAAATTTCAGACATCTTTTCTGCACATAACTGACTCCTTGTACCTTTATTGGCTGTCACGACTCTACACCGACATACATCTGGGAATTCAAAAGCCCAGATAGGTAAGATGGCATAAGGGTGTGGATAAAGGCCTTTGAATTCACAGCTCTCCCCGACAGCTTTGGGGCTCTCAGCTGCACAGAAATGCTCCTGCTCAGACCTCTGCTGAAAGGTAGCTAAAAGAGCCTGCTGGCAGCTGCTTGGCTTGGTCTCCGCAGGCACAGGCAGAACCCAAACCTGCTCTTCACAGCCTTCCCCCTTCCCCTGCCTCTCTACAAAGTGCAATGGGCCACAGGGAGTGAAAGGACATGGAGAGCCAAAGGGACGCCTTTTGATTAACCTCATGGGAAACTCTTTGAGAAGCACTTTCCTTGAGGAACAAGCCCCTTGTCTCCAAAGCCATTTACCCAAACCTGTTGCTTTCTTGAGGAACACCAATACACACTTCAGAAACCCTGGCAAGGCTGAATTCCTTCTGTTCCTTGAAGAACAGTCACTCCAGGTCCTATTGCTCCAAGTGTGTTTCCAGCTGTAGGTTCACACTCCCAGCCCCAGGCCCTCTGCAGACACAGCCAGGCTGCTTTGGCATCTTCACAGCCCTGAACTCCTGCCTCCAGGCCTAGCAGCAAACCCTGAGTGTTTTCAGCAAGAGGCCAGATCCCTGTTCCTGCAGGATGCTCTTATAAGCAACATCCAGGATTCTCCGCTCTGCATGGAGCATTTTTCCTGCCCTCTCTGAACAGCCTCTGGGCACCAGAGCACAACCTGGCTGGCTCTGGGGTCAGCAAAGCCCAGATCCAGGCGGAGCAAGAAGCAGTGGCTGTTCTGCAGCAATGCCCAAGACAGACTGGAACAGTTCCCTCCCTCTGGTCTCCTTTGGTTTGATTTCTGACTGTGTCTGATGCAGGGGCTGTGATTCTGGAACTGTGGGGACCCGACCTGGGCATGGTACCAGGCACTGCCTGGCAGCGCTCCCTACGCTGGGATAGGCACGTGTCTGTGTCTCAGGCAGTGTGCTGCTTCTTCCTTTGCTTTCAAGCACACCCAAAACTCACTGTTAAGCCACGGTGGTCTCTGTTTCTGCCTTCTTCTTTCCCCTTTGTAGGGATGGACCATTCCTGTGCTTTCAGGAAGCTATTCTTGAGTAACTTCCAGCATTCCAAGCTCCTTTGCCCTCCATGGATGCTTGCCATGGAATGCCTCAGCTCGGTTCAGAGAGACTGAAGTTGGCTCTGCTAATATGCAGGTTTTTGTCCTACCACTGGCCTTCAGTGTGCCCAGCAAGATCTTTAACGCCACAATGTTCTGGAACTGCACCTTCAGGACAGAGACCTTTCCAGCCTGAGCTGCCCTCGTCCCTCTCTGTCTCTGCACACGGCGCAAGGGGCAAAAGAAAGGCCCCGTGTGCTCCAGGGCTCAGGTTTTGTGCCATTTCAGTTCTACAGAGATGCAGATAGGGGGGAGAAACCCAACTGTTTATTAAGGGAAGGGGAAGTGGAGGGATGAGCTGGGAGCAGAAGGGAACAGGCTGGGTCTGAAGGCTAAAGGGATGGAGCAGTATGGAGGCAGGGACGGGTCAAGAGGGAAGGACAGGCCAGGAGCCACAAGGTCTTCCTGGCAGGCTCAGTTGGGCTCGGCATCAGTGCCTGGAGCTCCAGATGGTTTCCTCTGGTCTCCAGGTGGTCTCCTGTTGAGTGGTATCTGGTGCTTTTCTAGGGACGCCGCTTGTCTCGATGCAGAAGATGAATTTAATACTGCAGCTCTTTGGTCAAAGAGGGCTTGAACCATCACGCTTGTGTAGGAGGGGCAGTTGTCTTTTCTCATGGCTTGAAGGGCTGAAAGAGAGAGGAAGAACAGAGCCAAGGTCAGAGTCCGGATGGGTGGGGACCTGAGGAGCCCCTCCAGCCAGGGCCATCCCACCCAGCTCTTCCCATGGCCAGGAGGGAGCAGAGCCCAACAGGATCAGCCAGGAGGTGCTGGCCACCAAAACCCCTCATGCCCCTGAAATCTCTCTCTGCTCTGTCCGTGCAGGGAGCAGAGCCCTCCACAGCCGGGGCAGGATTGCAGCTCCCTGCCCAGGCTCCATGCTCCTCCCGCCAGCCCCCGCTGACACCGCGCTGCCCTCACTCACCCTCGCAGATGATTTGCAGCTCTTCGGGCTGTCCCCTCAGGTACCCCCCGGCGATCCCTGGGAACACAGATCCTGTCAGGGCCCCAGCGGCACAGCTCCCCCCCAGTGGCCCTGTCGGCCCGACCACGCACCCTCCTGCCCTGGCAGGGCTGAGCCCGGGGCCTTCCCGC